AACCTTTAAGCCCTCAGTCACTTGAAAAATGGTGTGAGAATTGCTATAATTTGCCTAGTTTCTATTGTATTTATTATATATCACATTTGCATAGCTATCCATCTTACCTAATGACTCTGGGGAGCATAGATAACAAAACAAAATGCATAAAAACCATTAAAGCTACAATTTAAAGTAAAAGGCAAGAGAAAAGAATGGCGACAAAGTATACAGTGAGTGCCTCAGTGACCCACCATATAAGCACCTAATGGGTTGAGCTCTATGATGGGATTCCCCAAGTTAGTTGGCAAAATCCTGTTTTGAAGGCCTTCAAGGTGAACAGGCTTGGGGCCAACCTCACAGGCTTGGGGCCAACCTCACTTCTGGGGAATGATCTTCCACAGAGTGGGGGCAAAGTTAGAGACAATTCATGCCATGATGACCCTGCTCCCCACTGAGGAATAGAGGCGATATGACATTGTGTACAACTTCTGTCATTCAGAACTTCTTCACATTCACCAGTTATAACCATTAGGTTCCTGCCCATGTGCAGTACAAGCACAGGAGTCTCAGCTGGGGACCTGAAAAGCAAGAGGAAGCCAAACAAAACAATACAATTCCTTCGTTTTTAAAACTAAGGACCGTCGTGCTTCAAAAACTTGAGCTTCCAAGTGGCGAGTTCAAAGTGCAGCACCTTTCCCAGCTTAGCATTGTCCAAAAGCAACAAAGGGAACAGGATTTGCATTCGGATAAAGGTGACCAAAGTGCCAATTCAGATGGGAGATGAATGGGCGTAAGGGAGATTTAACATCTGAAGAGAGCCATGCACTCCCATGAATGTGAGCATTGGAGTTTTTTGGCTTCTGCAATATTTCCATTGCTTAGGCTACGGGAGCCCATAGGGAACAAAAGGGAGGGGCAAAAACAGGGCAATTCAGAACAGTGAGATGCCAACGGCATTCAGAGCAGCGCTTCTGATTGAAAATCCAGGCCTCAAGAGGACATGGGAGCAGCAGCTGTATCAGAAAGCCACTGTGCAAAGAATTCAGACTAACGGGAGGAGAAAATGTGAAGGGTGTTTTCAAGAACTACAGGAAATGTATAAATGCCATACTATTTTCTATGTTTTTCTTATCTTTGTCTTTCTGTGTATAAACTCAAAATAATATGGCATGGAGATATCTTCTGTCAGTTGGAAAATACCAGCTATATTTTCATTTCTGAGATATATGCCAACACACAGAGACACAAACACATAACCTAAGCATACCAAGTTTCTCTGAATCTATTATTGATATTAGTTTTCCACTCCAAATTCATGGAAGCCTAGCCCTAATCCTAGGAGGATTTTCATCTCAATAGGATTTTCTCATTTATTTATCCAAGAAATGAAAATAAATTGGGTTAGAAATGTTAAGAGCCTCTTAACCATAGCAAGCTCTCCAAACGCATTGGTGATATTTATTTTCCTCTCTGAATTTATAGACACCTAACCCGAAGGGGAGATATATTTGTATGAGCTGTCCTAGGCACAGTGTGCCACTAAGTATTTTTTGTGAAGTTCATTTCCTGTTCCAAATTCATGGAAGATACACACACACACACACACACACACACACACACACACACACACACGTTCTATAAAGTTATGTCCATATGTACTAATGAGCTGTCCGAAACTTCAAAACAGATGGGATGAAATGAATGGCCAGTATCTCTCCTGTTATTTTCAATAAAGAGTGAACATTATTTGGATTTTTCTCTTGTGTTTGTGATTTTGAAACAGCTAATTAACGTTACTCATGGCAGTACAAATTTTTGCAAGGCATCACATTTTTCACAAATGAGCTGTTTCTTCCAGTTCTTCTGATACTGCAAATCAAATCACGGGATTTTTTTGTTTACAAATTCTTTAATTACCCTTGTCCATCACATTTCAATCCAAATCTTGGGATAAATACCTAATGCTGTTACTACTTTGTACGTATCCTAATTTGTAGAGAATTTTGTTTTGTTATTCACAAAATAATTGTCAGATAAGTGTCAGATAAAAGTGAAACAGCTTATTCTTCAATTTTATGCGTATGCTTTTGAAGATAATTATGCTAAATCCATGTCAGAATATTATACAACATGCAACTTTTGCTAGCTTTTTCCTATTTGTCAAGTACTAATGAGCCAATAAAGAATCTTGCCTGCAGTTTTTATTTTAAAAATATATATAGATTTGGGGGATTATGTTTTAGCAGGACAAACCTGCTAATTTCTATGATATAATGCAAAAGCCATATGAAACAGTAAAATGAAACTGTTAAGAAATCTGGGTGTGACAGCAGTGCACCCTAGTGGTAAAATGTATCCAAAATGAAAATAGCAAAATGTTATAATAATCCAGAGCCATGTTTCTTAAATGTTTTTCCCTTAGAACTCTTCCCACGTTTATAAATTATGGACAACCCCCAAAGAAGTTTTTATGGGTTATACATATCAATATTTACTTTATTAAAAATTAAAATCTTTCAGTGCTGCTAGCATTTCTCACAATTGCTTGATGGGGCTTTAATAATGTATTATTTTTCAACATAAGCTGGCAAATAATTTTCGTTTGTGATAGAATAATTTTCGTTTGGGTGTGTGTGTTTATAAGTTTAAAAACATACACACTCTCCCACACTGGTGTCCAAAGAGAAACTATAAAGTATGCATAGTGTAAGATACCATCCTGTCTGGCCTCAAACTCTTGGGGGAATCTGGGGAGACAGTTGTTGCCACTAAGAAGTCCAACAAGATTGTTTGATAGAAGAGATCGAGGGCATGACTTCTCCCCTAGAATTTGATGAGATGGGCAAAAACTGCCTAGAAGAAAGGCAGTCCTGCAAGGAGGAGGGAACAATGTGAAAACTATAGTACAATCTAAAACATGCTTTTCAGAAAGAAAAGGGGGAAAAACCCTGAAAACTTAACTATGTTCCCCAATCCATCTATTTTCTGGCTTTCAAGAATGTTATAAGAATACACTTGGACATCTAGTGTTCCTCACTGTATGTATTCTGTGTCTCCAAATTTCATATACTTTCATATACTTTCATATACTTTGGAATTGGTCACTCTTGCTGAGAGACTTCTATAAGCATAATACAGGTAGTCCTCAATGTATGACCACAATTGAGCCCAAAATTTATGTTTTTAAGTGAGACATTTGAGTTTGCTCCATTTTACGACTTTTCTTGCCACAGTTGTTAAGGGAATCACTGCACTTGATTAGTAACATAGTTGTTAAGTGAATCTGGCTTCCCCATTGATTTTGTTGACCAAAGATTGCAAAAGGTGATCACAAGACCTTGGGACACAGCAACTGTTATAAGTATGAACCAGTTGCCAAGTATCTGAATTTTGATCACATGATAATGGGGATGCCTCAAGGGTCATGTGAAAAATAGCCATGTTACTTTTTTCAGTGCTGTTGTAACTTTGAATGATCATTAAATGAACTGTTGTAAATCGAGGACTACCTGTAATAATCTATTTACCAGTCAGAGAAGTCAGTTTCCTACCACTAAAGCAGATTAAAGGATTAACAGAAGGCTCAACTTGAACTAGATCTTAACTTTTCGCCACAACTGCATTCCAACTTTATCTCTATTTACACGGGAACTTGCCTGGATATTAAGATCATCTCCACTGGATCACTTTAAAGAATTTGAAGCAGAAAATAGGAATAAATGGACAATTCTTGCAATGAAGCTGTAAATACAATACAGCCTTTCAAGAATCTGCACTGAGAATCGTTATGAACATAGCGATCATAAATGATGTGGAATTTTCAGTTTGAGGTGCGTTGTTTATTGATGGCTGCATCTTATTTAGGGAATTTAAAAGTAGGCATTACAAAGAATTCCAAAAGATCTGCTTTGAGTGGAAAATGTGCAATACAATTAAAAATGTAGCTCTATCAAAGCAGATGTAAAGTGACGTGCATTGTGGAAAGGCAACCCTAACATTCACAGAAACTGCTGAGGTCAGAGCAAATAGAGGCCATGAGAACTGCATGGATTCTCCTGAAAATTGTCGCAGCTATAAAAAAAAACAATGATTTCCTCACTAAGGGATCATTAGAAATGGGATCAAAACTCTTCCCCAGATTCAGATGCGAATGCATGACATGTTCATATTTAGATGGGGGGGGGGGATGGGAGGTGGAAGTGTTAGTAACCTGCTTTGAAATCCCCAAGAGAATATGCTGGATATAAAACGTAACAAATTAACATTTATTTTAAAATATGCTTGGATCTTATTTCTAATGCAGAGTTTAGTTTATTGTTGTTGCATCTCGTACAACGAAATTAACTGCCATCTTCAGTGTACTATTATAACTATAAAAATAAAACACAATCACACCTCCTTCACATTCTATACAATTGAATTGAAAACCCGTTGTTGCCTTTCAGGATTAAATAAACCGCGATGGGGGGGGGACTTTGATGTCACAATAAAAAAGCAAACTTTTATGCTATCTCCAGATTCTTCGTGGGATTTTTTTGCAACATATCAACAGAGCTGTACCCCCCCAGCCCACCCGTGACAAATCTTAAAGAACATGCGCCACTCTAAAAAGACGTCTGGCGAAGACGAAGCGACCACATTCCTGCAGCGAGCCCCTACGTTAAAAAGGCCCGCCGCTTTCCAAGGTTTGCAGAACATTTGGTCGAAATACCCCACGCGTTTGCCGGGAGTTTTTGGAGTCGCGCGAGAAAGAACGAGACTTCCATTCCTGCACCGGAGGAAATAGAGATCCATTTTGCGCAGGCGCGAGTTCATTTTCTTCAGCTGGAGTGGTGCGGCGTGGCGTGATGGCGGGTAAGGCATTGACTCTGGCGGGATCCAGTGCAATCCTTCGCGGAGTTTTGTTTCTAAGGGGATGCGGGGCCGAAGTAAGGACGGGAGATGGGGAGGGAAGAGAAGAGAGAGAGAGAGAGAGAAAAAGGGAATCGGCCTCTTGGTTATTTTTTAAGGTTCGAAGAGTTTCGCTTCTAGGAGCTGGAAACCTCGGCCACGCGGGCGTTTTCTGATGGTGGCATGAGGCGGTCGGGGTGACAGATCTCGATTGCAAAGATCCCGACGGTCATTAGACGGCAGCAGTCAGAGACGGAATGGCCTTTGCTGCTGCTTCGTAGTCGCCCTGGAACGTGCAGGTCCGGTCCGTAATAGCCCACTTGGTCTCCAAAAGCGAAATGGAGGGCAGACTCTGTATTAATAAAATGCAAAGTTAAAGGTTTCTTTAGCTTGGAAAAAAAAAGTTCACTGGTTATCTTTTTATTCTGTAACTATGGACTTCCCTTTAACTGAAACCGGTATTGGGGAAACTATCGGGAATGAAAGCTTAAGGAACATGGTTTGTTTGTTTTTGAAGAAAAAGGGAGGAGGAGGATTGATTACACAGCATAGGTGACCGGCTTTGGGAATAGTTTTATAATTTGTACACTTTTCTACATTAATATGTGGATTCTTCAGTTTAACTCTATCCCCACCCCCTTGCGTGATACCTGAAGGGAATTAATTTTGAAAAGCCTTGTTGAGAGTATCTGTGTTCCCCAGCATGTCTTGGGTATCTGTTCACAAGTATGAATAATATAATTTATTTCCTAACATTATAGCATTATCATACAACATGGAAACATCTCAAGTCTCTGCGGATTGGAAGACATGACTCTCCATCAGCTTGCATGCATGAGGTATGTTTAAAATTCACTAGGGGTCAGTATTAGGATTTTTTTGCTGCTCAAAAAAACAGATTGGGGTTGGTTTAGTAACTTTCATCAAAGTTATAAAAAACTGAGCTACTGATGATACAAAGTTATCCCTGTCTGAAAAGAGAAAGTTATTCTTTTTGTGGAATTGTGGATTCTGAAGCTCAGTCCTGGAAAATTTAAAAGCAGATGTTGTCAAAATAAAGCTGTCTCTGATAATATGTCTAACTGATCCTCAGGTTGTACTTATTTGTCATGGGAGTCAACCCAGGCAGGAATGCAGGACTTACCTTCATTGTAAGCTCTAATCCCAAGAAAATCCCTTTTTGGAGAAAAGGGTGTTAGTGATGCATCTCTTCTGATCTACATTCCAAGGTAGGTGTGCGCTTGGATGCTCTTGAGGGCTGCAATTATGAAAGTCGGACACATAAAGCAAAGAATTGCCATTTTCAAATATTTGAAAAATGTGAGTGATGCTCTATGCTTCTGGGGGAAAAAAATCCAATGGCCAATTGCTCCAAACAGATTTTCTTTTTGGCCTGACATGTAGAAGTCTAGTCTGAGCTCAGTGGACTTAACTCTGTTCAAGAGAACTCTTGAACTTTTCCACTCAGTCAGTTACCCAGTAACCTTTCCATTTGTAAAACTTGGTAGTCCTTCTGAAGATAACAAATATTGAAGTATTAATCAGAAGCAAGAAATAGTGTTTTATGTGAGCAAATGTGCTTGAATACTCTTTAAACACATCCAGTGTGATGCGTTCTTTTTGTTTGGAGAGTCAATAAGGTGTAGATATTACTTTGCTGCTTGAAGATTAAGAGCTCTTAATTTGCTCCTGAATTACACTTGCATGATCTTGAGTGACTTACTGGCAGCTTGTTCAGGGCCATGTATGATCAAGTTGATCAAATCGAATTGAAGGTTTATACAATCCTTATAAAATCATGATTTGTAAACCAAGTAAGTTGGGTTTAAAAATTACATCGAGACAAAGCAAAAGGCATACATTTGGGATTTCCTGGTCCCTCATGCAAATATAGGTAGTCATTTAACAACCACTTGTTCAGTGACTGTTCAAAGTTAACGATGTGCTGAACGAGTGGGACTTAACAACTCATGCTCATAGTTGCAGCAATTCCAGCGTCAGTGTGATCATGTGATTGTGATTCTGGCATTTGGCAACTGGCTTTGCAATTAATGATAAGCACGTGATCATCATTTTTAACATTCACTGCCAGTTTCCAACAAAGTCAAAAGAGTAAGCTGAAAGGAGTTCATCAATGGCAGTCAAGTAACTCAGAGACGCTGTAACTAAATGGAATTCGCCTAATAGCAAGTGAACTTGCTGGAGTGGTTATAAATCCGGCCATGTGACATCCTGTTTTATGACCATCTGACTTAGGGAAGTTTCTGGTCCCCAGGTACTGTTGGTAAATGTCCTCAGTTGTTTGTACAAAGCAAGTTGACCCTGCCTTAGTTTTTCCAAGATCAGGCAGTGTTAAGAGTTCTTATTTCTCCAGCTGGATCTTCACTGCTTTTCAGTTCTCTTGATACTCACTCACTCAAGCCTGTGATGTGATGTTATCCCTGTCTGAAAATTCAGCTGTGAGGGAAAATTAATATCAGCTGAGGCTATCCCCCAGGGAGTGGTGTTCTGGAGCAATTGCTTTGCAAATGATTAAATTGACTTCTCAAGATAAACACAGCAATTATATTTTTTCCCTTTAGAACGATATCAGCATTTGAGGGTAATAAAAGCAGTCCAAACCACCTCTGAAATTTTTCCCTGGAAGCAGAGTTCCATGTATACCTGCTGGGAATGGGAGAGACAAGATTACACCTGGATGTGAGTAGCACTTTGACATGTTTCAGATATTAACTACACTAAATTGTGGTTGACTAGCTTGAGGACCAGTGTCTTGGGTGATTCAAACAAATAATCTGGTTCATGGGGGTGAGCATGTGATGGTAATACAGCAATAGTGTCATATGATTATACATTACCATTTATTGAAGTAAAGGAAGACATTTATACTTAGGGTCCTTCTATTCTACCTAATCCAGTGAAAATGTGGAATTAAATTCAGTAAGTAAGCTTTCAATTATCTGGGTGTCAGCAGCATCACTCTCTAAAACCACAGCCAAGCCAAATTTGGTCTCTGGACGTGGCAGGCAAAAGAAAAATTGGATTTAACAATGGATCCAGTCCAGCTAGGGCGTGTGGAGGAAACCAAATGCAATCTTATGGAAGAAGTCATTGGAAGCAGCGGCTTGGACTGTTGCCAACTCTTCCGTTCTAAGCCCTTCCCATCTTGGTCATATGACCCAGAGTGGAACATAGGTTTCCCAGAGCATCTGTTTGCACAAACATGTCATTTGATTACACAGAAACTCCATAGTTTTTCCTACCTTGGTAATTCTTTCCATCTCAAGGAGACATAGAAAACAAATGTAAAAGGTCTTTCAAGGCTCGCTCTGTCGGTTGAATAGTTCCAAAACAGGGCAGGATCACTTTAGGAGGGATAGTTGAAGCTGGCATCAGGAAAAAAACTGGGAATGGGACAAATCTGGGCTAGATCTGTGAAGAAAAACATTCCTAAACCAAGTTTCATCAATGTATCTCAGTGGCAATAGGGCAGTAGCTCAGAATGCCACTGGCCGCTCCAATTTATGTTGCTCTCGGTGTCAAATGATCAGGGTCAAAATTCATGCTGCAGGTTCTGTGCTTCCCAATACACACATACAAGCAAACATAGCGGCAATATAAGGGGAGTACACATACATACCCAGAAGTAGTATTTAGGCAGCCATTTGACTCAGAGGAAGACAATTACCTCAGTCTGAGGCCAGTTCAATATCATGACAATCCGCCAGTACTGAGCCCTCCAGAGAAAAGGAGCTTAGATGAAACAGACAAAGATGCTGCAATGCACCAGTCAGTCACAGACAATGATAATGATCCAGATTTTGAACTGGGTATGTCTGGTGAGCCTCATCTCATAGCACAGTGAAAATTAAATGATCTGGTCAGAGACTGTAGATTTGTCAAAACCGAAGCAGAACTACTAAGTTCAAGACTGCAAGGATGGTGTTTGCTGTCTCCAGGTGCGATATACACCGAGACGCATTTGATTCCTTGTGATTCAGATTCTTTTGTTGGTGTCTTTTTTTCCAGCTGATCTTTTCCAGCCATGGTGAAGAAGTGGGGGAAGGGTGTGGAACGCCTTTCTGCCACCACAGCTTTTTTTTCTACCCTTCCAAAGAGGAAAAATTGAAAATAAAAACAAGACAACTAAGGAATGAAGTTAACTCCCTAGAGTTTTCTAGAGGGAGGAGTATTTATTCTCTTGTGTTTTTAAAAGGAATGTTTTAAGAATGTTCCGTGTCTTTCTCTACTTTCCAAAAGTATAGGAAAAGAAGGCATGGTCACTGCCCCCCCCTTCCCCCCCAAAAAATCAAAAAGCCATTTCCTCAAGCTTTGTAAGGAGCATTTTAAAAAGTGCATGGCTGGGTGTGCTTCTAATGTATACATTTTCACAGCAAATGTTGTATTAGCAAATTCCATGTTTGATACACGTACCTTACAAGCACCATAATGGCTTTTGTTGCATTATCTGTAAGTGTTTTAAAGGCCACGGGCATTTTTCAAGACAAAAATGTAAAGGTTATGCCAACCAATACAGCTGAACATTTCTTTAGTGTAGGTTCTTAATTTATGATTCTGAGGTTTGACGATCCTCTGGAGATGAGACGCATTTGGGGTTTGCAAGATCACACAAAAGGGAAACTCCAGTACTAACTGTCCCGAAACTTTTGCCTTTCAAGATTTGATCAGCAACACTTGCCTTGATTTTATATTTCAGGACTGCAGCCTCTCTTTGCATTTTTGTAGTTAGCAAGGGTAGCTTGGTAGTGTTGCAGAGCATCCAGCCAAACTGACTTGGTAGCATGTTCTCAGGTTGTCAGAGTGGGCGATGAGTGAAATTCATGTGTTAACTGTATTTTTTACCCCTTAATTTCTTACGGCTTAGGTATAAATTGCCTGTTTAAAGAAAAGCACTGTGAATATGACTTTGGAGCGGATGACACCAGACATGCACCTGGAAGGCAAAATCGCCAAACTGTGTCTCACTTATTTTGGCCATGGTATCGGGGAATTCACTGAAGAAAGTAGTTATGCTTGGAAGAATTAAGAGGTAAAAGGAAATCAGGCCACCAAAGAACACTGGTTGGATACTATCAAGGCTGACACCAGCCAGACCATAAAATAACTCAAGGAAGCAGCCCAGGATTGGATGATGTGGGAGACCTGGCCCATAGAATCACCAAGAATCGAACACGATTGAATGGATAACATCATCATCAACAGATCTATAAGGTTTTAATGTTTATTAAAAGATTTAGGGAAAGCTGTTTTTTTATGACCAGAATACAGGAGGATACATTTCAGCAATATTTGTTGGTTTTAAAATGCCCGACTCCTTTTCTCTTGTTGAAAAAAGAACGTTTCAAGTCTTTAGGCTAGCTGGAGGCCATTAAAAGATTACACAAGATCTCTCTTGTCCTGTAGTTTGTTACCAATCAGGTCCATCAAGGAAGCCCTCAAGTTTTACTATCCACTTCATGTTCTCAGATAACTAGGATTCCAGAGGTGCGCTACCCCTGACCTAGAGGTGAGATAGCCAAGTGAATTAGTGTCACATCCCATTGTTCAGTGTTTTACATAATTAATTGTAGGAGATGGCCATTCTTTCAATAATTCCTTTATTCAGTGCTTGCCATCCATAGGCAGAAAGAATCTGGGCCCTATTTTGCAATGCAGTTGTGGAGCACACTGGGCATTAGCCATGTTGATGTTACTACTTAACTCTACAGCACAGCTTTTCATAAAACATGTGTCTGCTATTCTACCTAAGCTTTCTGCAAGTTGAATATTTTTGTATTACAGACTGGAGGGGACAATGAATTATTACTTTCATGAACCAAGGTTGGAACCAGTAATTTTCTCAGTGAAGACTCAGTCTTGTTAAACGCCTGAGGGTCTTCCAGACAAGCTTATGAGAGCCTTGTGTTTGTGATAATGAGGGCAGTGGCTATGGTATTCTGTGCTGGCTTGAAAGTGCTCTCTTATTGCTTGCTTTTATCTTAGTAGCAGGACTCGCAGAAACAGCTAATGGGCAGGACTGAATGCATTTTCTGAGTAGGGTCTGCTCATTCTTTTTACAATAATGAGTGGAAAACAAGGTTTTCTCCTCTTTTCTTCAGCTAAGCCTTTTTTATTTATTCAGCCAGAAGGACAATTTTCTTCTATGCTCTCCCACCCTCCACCCCATGAAAAGAAAAGCACAAAGATCATTCAACATTTATGCAATTATACAAAGTGGGGAAATGTTTCAGGTTACATCTACCTATTCCCCTTATGTGCTTGCAACCTTGTGCCACTAAGCCATTACTTTTCAGCAGAACAAAGACGTGATTCTGATCTTCTCGTTTGCTATTTACACTTCTCTTACCAAACACCAGTGTGAGGTGTTTGCAAGGTTACTTGTGTCAACAATATCCTTTTCTTTTGCTTCTTGGAACCTAGTGGTTGTTTAATTAGCTCGAGAAGAAATTTTGGCCCATGAGGACAACCACTAGGTTCCAAAAAGAACAGTGAGAACAAAGGAAAGATTACAGAAGTTGTTGTATCACAATGATTGGCAATTTGCAATCCCAGCATCCCAATCCCTCATGCAACCTTGGGTCTCCAATTGAGATTGTGTGAAATTGGCAACAGTATTTATTGCCATTTCATGGCAAGGAACACGACTACAGGCAAAAGACACAATCCAAACTCCTGCCAAAAATTTAGAAAATGTAAATCCTAGTCTTGTTAGCAATTCTCATGAGGTGGTTAAGTGCATTATAAGCAGGGCCCCCAACTCCCGCTGTTGGGAACTGGGCTGTGCATGCGGGAGCGTGTGAATCTTCATTTGTACTTGGGTGGGATCACATTACATGTATGAAACTATTCCCTCCACTGCCAATGTGGAGCCAAAAAGGTTGGGAACAGCTGCATTATAGTATTCCAGAACTGAGCTAGTTGACCCAGCCAATTGACCCTGTCAGACCTGGTCTAAGACAGTAACCCTAGTCAGTCAGCTCCTTCCTGTTGTGATCTCCCTTTGAGGGTTCCTATTGGGCTTTCAAAGATTTCCATCTGAGATGGGAGTCCTAGACTGGTCTTATTTTCACCCCTATGAGTGCAAGAAGTGATACGCTGGAACTTGTGTTGTGATGGGCAGTAGGAATAATATTGAGGAATAGGAGAAAAAGCCACTGCCAAGGCCAGTCAGATAAATGAACTCTTGAGTTTAGGGCAGAAAAGTAATTTAAGAAAGTATCTCAGACAACTCTCTCTGGTTCTCATTAAGGAGGAATGGGGAGGCACTTCCAGACTTGCAAGATTCTATTACTGTAACCTTATAACACCGTAGTAATACAGACATTCCTAACAGATCAGCTGAAGGGCTGATAGGTGCCAACCTCCAAAGTGAGGAAAAATTAAAGACCAGAAAAGTGAGAAACTTTCAACTTTCTTTACAATATCTGGTAGGGCCAGTTATAATAGCCATTGGCAGAGGGCTAAGATAGCCCTACTCTTGTGCTGCCATCTAAAAAGGCAAGTAGGTTGGCTTGGAACAAAGGATAACTTAACAGGCCATATTGTGAAAATAATCATGTGCCACAGTCCCACAACGCTTTGCTTTAATACTCTGCCTCCTGATCCTTTAGTCTCTTGTTTATCCGTTTTTTTCTTCCTTGTGTTTTCCCACAAATGCAGGGTCAATTTTTTTATTTTTAAGATCATTGAGTGTTGATCCATTATGACAGGGATTGACCAGCTTGTCGGAGTCTTGATATTGTGGGCTGAAAGTGATTGGCCCAAGGTCACCCAGCTAGCTTTCGTGATTAAGGTGGAACTAGAACCCGCAGCTTTCTGCTTTTAGCCTGGTGCCTTAATCACTAGATTAAACTGGATGTTTTTAATTATTCATGGGAAGGCTAGTTTGCTTTTTGATATTCCAGTGATGTCAAAACATGTGTTCTCCTCTTAAAATAAAATTAATCATTTGAGTAACAGTAACACACTCAAATTTATTGCTACTTTATATATATAAATACATTTAATAAGAACACTTGAATTGGTTCGGTTTGCATCTGCAACTATCCCTTTTCCCAAGCCATAATTCATCTTTAGAGAATTCCAGGCTACTGAAACATTTACAGAGGTATTGCCCACAACATCCTTAGCACAGATTGATTTTGAATTTTATAGTATTTAGTAGTCTTTACAACATCCAGTTAGAAGGCTGGTATCTCCTACTGTGGAGATGGAAGAATTACTCAGTACCATGTCAGCTGATTGTGAAAAAAGAAGGGGGCCAATATTTGTACACCTCAAAGGATCCCCGAGTTCAAATTTGTGATGGATGAGAGTATATAGTCCAAGACAGATTGGCGAAGATGTCCCTTCCTACTAAAACAACTATTGGACTCACTTTACTGGAACTTATTCACCTTCAATAAAGCCATTTTCTCTGGATGCAGGCCATGCAGTTTGTGAATAGGAGCCCTATTGAGTTTGTGAATAGGAGCCACAACCACCTATCCAATGGTTGTGGACCTGCATTTAAGACTGTATAATGATAGTTATGAGCACAGTTCTGTGGTTCTCAGCACTGATTAGCTGGATGCGTCCTAAATGGAGGATAGTGGACTGACGCCCAAATCTGCATAATGTATGCAAGCATAGGAGAATCCTTGCCTACAATAAATAAAACAAAACTGTATTTGAGATTCTCCTGTACAGCAGAAATGCGATTGCATCTCCTGGCTGCACTGTTGTTAACAGCAGATGGATCTGTCTTTACCAAATCCAGTGGGAATGATTCCCAGAGTCCTTTTATGTCCAATATGCTTGGAGTGTGCTGCTGATCAGTTTCATTTTTGGAGACAAAAAAAGGGGCTCCTCTTCATGAGAAGAGCTCTCATACAAAGAGAGTTAAGGGAAGATGCACCCTTTGTTTCCCCTCACCACAGAACAACTTATCTTCATCGCTGAAAGAGCTTAATGATGCCAACTCGATTGAAGCTCTTCCACAGCTCGGCTTCTAGTAACATATCATGATTGGCATAGAACACCAAGGGCTTTTTTTCCTGCTCATAGTAATGATCCGAAAACAACTTGTAATTCTCCGTGATGAATCCATAGGCACTGACCTAACGAAGGAGAAGAAGTGAAAGGATGAATGAGGGACAGGCATGGACCAAGAGATCAAGTCCTTCATGCTGGTTGCTTACATGGCCAGGAATTCCCTTGGAGAAACAAAGCTGCATCAGATGAAATGTCAGCCAGCATGAAGCAGATGCCCAAATGGCACAGGATTGGAATAAAAAACAAACAAGCAACTTTCCCATTTCCTCCAAAGCATACAAATGGAATTAGTGCACCTTGTAAGCAAAAGATAGGGCTGCCATTTGTTGTTTCATTGTTTTTCATAAAGTACCAATTCACCCCACCAGTATTTTTAAATCCTCACGGTCTGTTAGTCAGCTAGCAAAAATTGGAAAAGTTGTCACTATGGGAACTATTACCTGATCACAAGTGTGTAGCGCTGTTAAAAGCATAAGTGCTCCAGTGCTGGGTATGTAGAGATGACCAAACTGAGAATTAATAATTTCTGATTTTAAAAACCTGGGAAGAGAAAGAGGCAGGTTCAGCAGAATTTTTGATTGGAAAAATCAGAATACTTTGATTTTTCCTTGGTTTCCATGTTAGAAACTGGCAAATAGAAAGGTTTCACATATCTCCTTGACGTGCTAGGTTTCCAAACTGACAAAATCTGATGTGGAGTGCCTTCAAATGCCTGCTTTCATGTTTGTTTTATTGGGGAAACACTCTTCAAATATCATTAGAGTTTCCAGGTCAAAAAGAGTAGGAATGTTGAACAAAACCCAAATATTGGAAACCCAAAGGATGAACTGGTATATAGTATACATGCTTCTATGCTGCTGTTGCTTCTATGCTGTTGTTTGCACCAGTCAACAAAATATTTAAATCCCCTTCTCAGCCTTGCCCCTGCCCTAAGTATGTGAAAGGTACCATTCACACATAAATGGCTACTCAGTAAATAATCAACTGCTCTTAATAGCAAGTTTTGTTGCAGGAATAAAAAGCTCAAAAACGTCACCTTTCTTTAAGATAATGCATGAATTCTGGGTGCAGCAACTTGAATTTCCCTGCAGATGTCTCAGATCCAAAGTATTTCCAAGGGCTATAAAAAGAAACAAAAGGGGGAAAAAGCTTTAGTAACATTTCTGTGATTAAGCTGTTCATTTAACCCCATATCTGGAAAGAAATTTGAGCAATTAAACAATAGCACTCTTGGTAAAATCTGAAACAGTAGGTGTTCACATGAAAAAAAAACTATGACTAAATATTCAAGACGTGGTTTGGAGCCTAATAGCATCAAGATGTCAAAGGGGACCTCCGATGCTGCCAATGGAGGCCTTCACTCTGACCTATCGGGACACCAAGCCTGCCCAATCTAGCTAAAGTTTTGTCGTCATCATCTTCAATAATCACACTTTTTTTTTCCAGCTCAAGAAAGAGGCACAAAAGAGAGGATAGCATGGCATGCAAGGAGAGTTATCCTCTTGAACCTTTCTTTCTATAAATTGTGCTGTCAGCAGGAAGGTTTATAAGGGATGTAGGGGAGTTGTGCATGTTACATAGGCATGTGTTGTGCTATTGTTATATGTGAATGAAAGACAGAAATATCCATTTCAGCAACTGTCTCTGTGATGCCCTTTCCAGTTATGTTACTATATGTGACACAGTTGTATAGAAAACATTCTATCTAAAAAAAATGTAGTGGGTTGCCTACAGTTTAATCTGCTTTATAGATGGAAACTTTTTAATACAGTCGAGGTTTCTGAAAAGGGAGAGGAACATAACACAAGATGCAGATTAGGATTAGCATAATCCAATCCCCAAATGTGAGAAGGTGTTGTGGGTGAAGGTTTGTTTTCTGAGCTTGTGGGTTGGTTTCCAAACGTTTCGTTACCAGGCTAGGTAACATCTTCAGTGGAGTTTAGGGGGTTTCAGTCTTCTTCTGTTTATAGGGGATTTGTGTAGTCAGTAGGTCTTGGTGAGGTCACATGCTGAACCAGAAGTTTAAAAACATTAAAATAACATTGTATGTGGTTCATAACCATGAGGTAGAGGAACAAGAATCGTGCAAACAGAATTACTTACATATCACCCTTGTCATAGCCCTCTGGGACAGGACTGCCCAAAATGGCAGATCGAAGCATGATGTAGTCTCGTATGTTTGATGGAATGAATATGTACTGTACATCCTACAACCAACATAGAAGGAAATGTAAGCATGAGGTTTGACAAGGGAAAATATGTTGCAGTTTAAGCATGTATAATTTCAGCCATTTATGTATACCTTTTCCCAGATAAACCATTTTGTATCTCTGTTCCCAGTTCTTACTCCTTCTACAATAAATATTTGGTGGGCACTGTATAGCTATAATCTTGATTGTTTTTGAAAGCTTTAACATATGCTTAAATAGTTGACTTAATTCAGGAAATCTTCGTATTGATGCTGTTTTAGCATCAAACCTACCACTGAAGATCATACAAGATTTTTAAAAGTGAAGCTGGAAAGACTCTTATAAAGCATTTGTTCTGGCTTCAACCTTCCTGGACTGAAAAGTATTCTACGGGCAATAATCTGCAAAACCACCTACCCATATTAAAGCAAATGTGACTTAAGTTAATAATATCTTAGTCTAAGCCTGCAATTAAGGAGAATATTTGTAGCTCATGGTTAAAATTTAGGGGTCCTTGGTGCTCTGTGAGCTTGCTTGTTTTCTTGCAGGTATTTCATTGCAGGAACTAACAAACAGCCATCAGTAAACAGCCCAACCGAAAAATCCCTAAGATCACCCTCACCCACGCAGACAGAATATAAACTGACAGCAAACTGCACTCCTTACTAGCACTGATGATGTTACCTAGTTAGGGTTATAAAACGTCTGCAAGAAAACAAGCAAACTCGGAGAGCACCAAGAACTCCTCACTCCTGCAATTGAAAATAATGTAGCTGTGCTTTTACTTTTCCCTGTGGGATCTGTGTAAAGCCATATTCCGCATAAGCAACAAGGGAATTCTTCATAGTGTTCACTGTAAAGCCATAGAAGGAAGTCTTAGTCCCAACGTCTTCCTCAAAACCTTTGGTGACTGCCCCGTTAAGCCTGCAAGGAACAACAGAAGCAAAGCCTTAAGAATTGATAGTTGTCAACAAGCCACAACTGAGTAAATAACTCAAATGTCTGAGATTTTATTCTGAAAGTTTAAGAGCATGGATCTTGTGGGTTTTTTAAAACTCTATAACCACCCAGAAATGGTGCCTTTCTACCTTTCAAAGGAAGAGGTTTTCTACCTGAAGACAAAGTCATGAGCATCTATCTTCTTCCCTTGGCGAGACCCATTCAAAATTCCTCCATTCCCAACCACGGCACAGCAGATGCAACAGTTAAGGAACTTGGTTTCATCGACTAGCTGACTGTGGACAGACTCAGTGAGAAGCTGCAACGTGGATGCAATAACTGCAGATTAAAACAATGCAATGAGGCAAGTTAGGAAAAAGTTCTAGCAACGGCTCCAGCGAGAGAATGAAAACACTATAGATTCAAGGCAGCAAGAGAAGCAAGCAGTGGGAACACTACACTGAGGTTAAATGTCATGAGACAAGCAAAACACTCAATTTAATAGCTGGGTACAAGCTCTTCAGAGGACTCCATACCTTTCATCTCGTTTGGAAATGGGACATTTTAGGCTAAATCTGAGGGAGAGAAAGACCATTTTGTGGTTATGTACTGTACTGAGCTCTATAAGGTAATTCTCAATCTATGATCATTTATCCAGAAACCATTTGAAATTGCAATGGCAGTGAACATTATGACTGGTCCTTGGAGTTCTGTCATGTCAGCATCCTGAATCGTATGTTTGTGATCTGTGTGCTTGGCAACTGGTTCCCATGCTGTCGTGTTCTTCAATCACAGTTTGTAACCTTTCCTGCTGACTTCCCCAGAAAGTCAGTGGGGGAATTAGCAGGGGAGGTTGTGCAAGTCACTGAGATAAGTCTCCCCTCATTTGCATAACCTCCCACAGTCCCTCTATGCTTGCGCACCAGCTAAACAGCCCCATGTACCCTCTCTGGCCTGTGCCACACCTTCACTGACCTAGGATTCTTTTGCACATCCCCTCCGACCCACAATGCACCTCTAGTGCTCCACCATGCTCCCTATCCCACCTCGAAGCAGTCATTGATCTGCCTGCCAGCCAGCCTGGGACTTGAAATGTTCTGCTTGCTTGTCCGTTGATTTGGTTGTAAGAAGCCCGCAGAAAATTGCCTTACCTAACAACCATAGGATTCAGTTAATGACAACAGCCAAAACTACAGGGATTGCTGTTGTTAAGCAAGGTAGTTGTGCTTTACGACTGCATCGATACAGCTGTGGTGGTGCAGTGGTTAAAATGCAGTACACTGCAGACTAATTGTGCCAACTGCCAGCAGTTCGATTCTCACCTGCTCAAGGTTGACTCAGCATTCCATCCTTCAGAGGTCAGTAAAATGATTGTTGGGGGTAATATGCTGACTCTGTAAACTGTTTATAAAGGGCTGTAAAACACTGAAGCAGTATGTAAGTTTAAGTGCTATTACTTAGTCACAGAAATTCCAGTCCCAATTGCCATTATAAACTGAGGACTACTTAGATCAAAACCAGAACCTTGAATTGAGCCATTGCAACCAATGCAGTGTCTGCAAGATAGAACTATCCCTCTCTGTAGTTGATATTGTTGCATGGATCGTCAAAAACTGACCATTGCAATCTTACTGCATTCTTTGACAAAATAACTAAATTAATAGATCAGAGAAATGCTGTGGACAAAGTATACTTGGACTTCAGTAAGCAGATACTTCTTGATAAGATAGAAAATCATGGGATAGACAGCATCACAACCAGATGGCTTCATAACTGGCTGACAAACCACACTCAACGTGTAGTCCTTGCGGAATTACATCTACATGAAGGGAAATATGCAGAAAAGGTTTACACTTAGGCAAGAAAAAACAAATGTCCAGATATGGAATAGATGGTACATGGCTCAACAGCAGTAATGGTGAAAGGGATCCAGGAGTCCTAGTGAACAATCATTTAAATATGAGCCAGCAGTGTGCTGTAGCCGCCAAAAAAGCCAATTCAATCCTAGGCTACATCCAGTTTTGGTCATCTTTTTTGTATTGTGGTGACAAAAACTGGATGCCATATTCCAAGTATGGCCTTACCAAGGCATTATCAAGTGGCATTAACACTTCCCGTGATCTTGATTCTATCCCTCTGTTAATGCAGCCTAGGATTCAATTGGCTTTTTTGGCAGCTGCCAAAACTAATTAAGGAGAGAACCAACCTAGAGCTAAGGAGAAATTTCCTGACAAAACAATTAATCAGTGGAACAGCTTGCCTCTAGAAGTTGTGGGTGCCCCATCACTGGAGATTTTTAAGAAGAAATTGGACAGCCATTTGTTTGAAAGAGTATGGGGTCCCCTGCTTGAGCAGGGTTGGATTAGAAGACCTCCAAGGTCCCTTCCAACTCTTTTATTTTGTAGTTTTTTTGTAGTTTAAGGAACGATGGTGTGAGTAATAGTTGAAATGAACACTTAATTCCGATGTGACCCCTGAAGACATCCACGAATCTATACAATACAGATACATCTATGTTGTAGACTGAACAATACAGTTTGAGCATATTTAATGAAGGTAACACGATTTCTACTAAACAAAAGATATACTGATACTGATGTCCACTATGAACAGTCTTTTTGTGTCAGAAATATTTTTAGGACTGAGTAACAATCTTTGATGAATTATATGTCTCAAAAATGATTAATGGTTTCAGTCCTGCTTCTAAAATGTCAGACGCTGAACTTTAGCTTTACTGCTTTAATAATTCCTTTTGAATTAGCATGAGGTCCTGCAAGGAGTGGTGGTGAAAAGAATTCCTTTGTTTTTTTCTTACTCTTGGCACTGGAGCTACCTCTTTTTCTTGTACATCAGTCACAAATAACTTTTACACAAGAAATGTCCGGGAAAGTAGCAACCTTGCAACTGATCCTTTACCAAGTTCTAAGTCCAGACACAGTGGGGATTCTCACATGGTCTTCCTAAAGCTCTCTACAGCCAGTTTAATCCTACTCTGCTTCACTTCTCCTTCATTCAAAGTATGTCCCTTGCTCACTCCCCTCTAAGAGATGCATGGCATCAGCCAGAGATATTTGGCAAGTGACTAAGAACGGGCATGGGGCAGGAAGCAAGATAATTCCCAGAAGTCACTGGGAAGAGGCAACAATAGAGTGGGTTGTGTCAAAGCCTTTTTCTTCAAGCTAGTCATCAGAAAGACACTGGGACCTTTGATACAGGCAAATATCACAAGACATGGATAGTACCAGCATTTCCAATTGTGATTTCTCCCCTCCCAGATCTCAGCTTTTAAAGAAAAACAACCAGATTGCATGAACATTATAAAAATGGTGCTAAGCAATCCAATATGTTAAAACTTTTGGATGCTGCAACTAGATAGATAAAGAGGTTTTTCCAGTCAAATGAATTTATAAAGAGTAATGTTATAAACAAAATATGTTTCCCCTTGGGCACAGAAACTACAGTGATCACGCTCCAAAGGTACGGCGTATGCCTAACCATAGTGCTCTTCTTATCTATTTGGGTCAAACTGGCACATCAGGATATTAGAAAATGGCTGCAAGACTTGCTCAGTTGAGTACTTCTTTTGTGCATCTTCACAATGGGCTATTGAGGCACTGCAATCCCTCTGTGATATATAGATTTAAAATGTATCAAACGCAATGTGTTTATTTCTTGCCTAAGCCTAATAACTAAATCTATCCACGTGTCAGAGATGTTGAGCACATTATTTTCTCATTTTAGGGAATCATAAATAGATGGTTTGAGAGTCGTAGCCCCCCCCCCCCCCCCCAATTTCCTGTCTATGGATGTATAAGTAGCAGCATCCACGGGGAGATTAAAACAGGCAAGGGGATGTCCACATTACCCATCAACACATCAACGTGTACAAAAGGTGCAGAGGTTCAATTGTATGCTACAACCAGCCATCAGCCATCTGATTTGACAAGCTACATTCACCCACCCCAGACAATAATGCCTGCTATTCTACAATTTTCAGAACCCAATGACCAATACATCAAACAGAGCATCAGGTCGAGATACACTTGGCCACCTTCTTTTAATCCTTAGTTGGGGGCACAAGCTGTATGAATGCAAGTCTACCTGGCCCCAGTACTATTTAATCTACAAGACGTTCCACGGGACATATTTAACTCACTGTTCGCAAGTTTTAAAAAGTTGCAAGGTGATTGAATCTGAATTTGTACACCCCAGGATGCTAAACCTTATCCTTTATACTGCAGTCCTTAAGGACTCAAGCTGCAACTTTTATTGAGGGAGGGATTCTTGGTTAAGGGCAATAGGGCCCTTAATACAAAAAGCATTAACCACCTTTTCCTGCTGTCCTAATCATGGACCTTTATGCAGTGCTTCTTGACAACTTTGAGATGTGAATAATGCTGACTGTGAAATTCTGGGAATTGTCATCCACTCAGCTTAAATTTGCCAAGGTTGAGAAACACTGCCCCTATGACTTCTCTTCTGAGAGAAAACTACATCCATATGCAGACACAGATGATGACAGACTTCATCTTTAATACAAAGAGCAATTTAAATCTTTAATGTAGTATCTGATGCATATTAGGAGTGGAAGTCCTCTGTGATCTATATAATTTCAAATGAAAATATCAATTCTGATATGCATCAATTTCTTTCTTTAAAAAAAAAATACACGGTTGTTCAAGGCAAGGTACTTCAGTGTTAAAATCTGTAAAAGGGAACGGAGGTGCCCTGAAGGAGCAATATTGTAATACGCAACTCCTGGCCCTGTGTCTTGTAAATTTGGAAAGTTTAAAACTCTCAGAAAATTTATATGAATCATGAACACTGGTTTGTCTGCTAACCATTTTGACATCTGTTGCAGCAATAAGGTTAGGCCAACAATCAAACAATTTGGTCCAACTGCATGCATGCAACAAGATGCAACGTTCATCAAAGCCTCATCTTCTACCACTGAAGCGCTATATGATTCTTATACCTGGATATGGCACATCACGCCAACCATATGGAACACTGCGATCCTTCAGTCTCCCCCAAGTCTCAGGAGTGAAGTGCTGCTCCCACATAAACACAGGGATATCAAAATCAAACTGCTTCTCAAAGGTGGGATTGTGTTTCACTCTGGATTTTACTGACGAGAGGCATGATCTAGACTGAGAGAGATTAGAAGTAAGTAAATTTCAAAGGCAGGAAACACTACAATTTACCTATAGTTTTTTGGAAAGAATACTTTTCACTGACCATTCAGAGCAATGTGCATCCAACAAACCTAAATATAGCACAGCATATCTAGATTACCAAAATACAGGTAGTCCTCAACTTACAACAGTTCGTTTAGTGACCATTTAAAGTTACAACGGCATTGAAAAAAGTGACTTGTGACTGCTTTTCACACTTATGACCATTACAGCATCCCCATAGCCATGTAAGCAACATTCAGACACTTGGCAACCGACTCATTTTTATGACGACTGCAGAGTCCCAAGGTCCTGTGATCCCCTTTTGCGACTTTCTGAGCAAAGTCATTGGGGAAACCAGATTCCCTTAGCAACTGTGTAATGAATTTAACCATGGTAGGGATTCACGTAACGTGTGTCAAGAAAAGTCATAAAATGGAGCAAAAGGCACTTAGTAAATGTCTCACTTAGCAACATCAATTTGGGGCTCGATTCTGGTTGTTAACTCAAGGATTATCTGTACCCCAAATGTAATTTGTTGTAATTTGTGGAAAATCCAACTCTTGATTCAGAATAAAATAATGCAATATTTGAAAGATAGATTCCATTTTGACCCATTCAGAGTATTACGAGATTGTCTAGGAGTTTGGTTCTTAATCTCTGGAAATCTCTTACTGCACTTAAAGTAGGGTACACCAAGTGCTACAGTAGAATATTCCAAATGTGCTTAAATCATGTAAACATGTACAGGAACAGTAGCACTAGTTTGTTAACTGTTTATCTAGATTCACTGTGCTCTAGTTGTGCTGAACCATACTTTTTGAATAAATCACATTGAAAAAAATCAATTCAACACACTGAGTCATCACCCAACGAACCATTTCACCTTGGTATGAAGTAAGAAGGCAGTATCTACTGCTACTTGGAAAGTTTTCTTATATGTGACAAGTAATCACTGGTCTTTACTGTTTGTTAAAATCTAAAGGGTAGTAGTTGTCAAGGCTAGGCCAGGGCTTACCCATACTTAAAGTTAATCTGCTTAATTAATTCACAGATAAGACTGATATTATTCAACTGTAAACAATAAACTTAATCCCAGTTCCTTCAATCTTGAAAGTACTGAATTAACTGTGGCAAAAAAAGACACTTTTTTCAAGCTTGATACCTCTATTCCCAAGAACTGGGAAATAACCAATGTGACTTTGATTTTTGAAAAGAGATAGCCGTTAAGTAAGCATCTCATCCATGTAAAATGGAGAAGAGTATCGTTAAAGATACTCTTGCCAACAAAAGTGCGTATAGTCAAGGCTATGCTTTTCCAGTTGCAATGTATGGCTGTGAAAGTTGGACCATGAGCACCAAAGAATTGAAGCCTTTGAACTATGGTGCTGGAGAAGACTCCTGCGAGTCCCTTGGACTGCAAGGCGATCAAACCGGTCAGTTCTAGAGGAGATCAACCCTGACTGCTGTTTAGAAGGCCAGATCCTGAAGCTGAAACTCAAATACTTTGGCCACCTAATGAGAAGGAAGGACTCAATAGAGAAGAGCCTAATGCTGGGAAAGATTAAGGGCAAAAGAAGGGAACGACAGAGAATGAGGTGGCTGGACGGAGTCACTGAAGTAATCGGTGTGAGCTTAAATGGACTCCAGGGGATGGTAGAGGACAGGAAGGAGTGGAGGAACGTTGTTCATGGGGTCGCGATGGGTCGGACATAACTTTGCCACTAATAACAACAAATCATTAAAGAACATAAGAAAAAGTTACACCTGAAAATGAACTCTTGCTTTAAAATATTGTCACATTAAACTTTGGATATTAAAATTAAAGAACTCCTTGACTAATTATTTCATGCAGGGCTCCTGAACAAATTTAGCAGTACAAAGGTACATTCTGTCCCAATGTCTATAGCAGCTAACTTGTGGACTTCAACTCCCAGAATTCTACAGCCAGATGGAGATTCTCAGTCATCCAGATCATAGTTGTCCCAAAGGTGTTTTTTCAAGAGGCAACTAGATTTCTTGTTTTTTTTTCATTGATGTCATTGTGGCCACCTGGAGATTTATCTGTGTCGTCAGGGTCACCTGAGTAGTACAAATGGGCATGGAGCCTTCTTGGAACTGCTGAAAGGACTGTGTTGTAGACTGGAGATAGATATCCCTCCCCACTGTTGAGAGAGGGCTGTTCAGTTTTGACATAGATGGCTTCTTTGACCCCTCTCTCAAACCAGCCATCCTCTCTGTCCAAAATATGGACTTTACTGTCTTCAAAAGAATGGGCTTTGTCTTTTAAATGCAGATGGACTGCTGAATCTTGTCCTGATGCATTTTTCAAAGTACAAGTGCATCTGTATGCAGCCCTATACACAAGGGGCTGAGAGGACCTCAGTCCTTCATTTCTTCAATAAGGGTACTTAGTAAAGGAGGTATAGCAGAGAATCCAAAAGTGGTTACTAACGCATCAAAATGGTCATTTGAGCATTATCACTGAAACAATAGGCTGACAAATAAGATATTTAACATGCATGATATGCTTGTTACCTTCTCCTTTGGGCTAGACACATCTTTGGTTGAATTTCTCCTGAAAATAAAGTAACAAGAAAAAGGAGTAAAACTTGCACTCCATTGTTCAAAAACTATGGATTTTGTATTCACAGACACAATAACGTTTTCTGAGGAACTTATACTTGCTACAATTCAAATCAAGAGACCTGCATGTAAATAGCAATATTAGATTTAACTCTCAGACCTGTTTGTCTCCCCACTGATGCCAGGGTAGTTAAGAGTCTCCCATTTTTATTGTGATATGCTTTCTGAAAGTCTAACTAATTGATTAGCAGAAAGTTCATCTAGTTTCTCTGTTTGGTTGGCTGGTTTGTGGTACACATTTTTAGCAATGTCATTCCTTTTATATTAACCCAAATGCATTCATGAAGGTTTTCATCCTTTTTTGCATTTCTGTAGAGATATAGATATCTCTTACATATAATGCAACTCCTCCTACTCTTTTGTTAAGCCTGTTCCTTTTGAACAATTTAAATCCTTCTAGCAGTACGTTCCAGACATGGGTTTCACCAAGTTTGGGTAATGGCAACAATGTCATATCTGCCCTCATGTACAAGGACTTCAAATTTGCCCTGTTTGTTCCTCATATTTTGAGCGTTAATGAATAGGCATATGAGTCCTTTTTGACTGACCCCTATGTTCACTTCCTACATCTCCTGCTTCGTAGTTGAATTTCCCTTCTTTCTTATCAGTTGGTTGATTGCCATGAGGTTTATGCTTTGGATTAGGTCCTAAAAACTGCCTTTTATTCTCCTCCTCCAGCTTTAATCTGTTAGTTTGTTTAGTTTAATTTAAACTGGAAACTGCTCTGTGGCTTCAGCCTTTAAAAATGTCCAGAGCATTCTGAGAGTAAATATGAAATACAATTGAGTAATTTAGCATAATACTGCAGATTTCTATCAGGTCAGCTACAGGGCACTGAAAGCAGGGCTTGCTTCCATAATGTATTTTGTGTATTTACCTCAGCAGAAACTATTGTTGATCACCAATTTCTAAGGACAAACCTGGGTCACTCTTGGCAACAGGAACAGTAGCAGTTAATTGTGTAGGAAGACCACAAAAAAAGATCACATGCAATGCTGATTTTAGCTAACAAAATCAGTTAGCTGCAGGCTCCTGCTATTCTGGAATGATATGGTTGAAACACCAAGGTATTTTATCAGAAGAAAACTACACTTCTATGAGAAGCCTAACCTCTTCATGACGGCTCTTCTGATCAAGTCGTGATTTCTTACATCTTGCAATATTTCTGTACCTTCTAGGTCCCATGTTTCTTGCTGCTGTGTTCTGGAAAATAACAGGCAAGTGGGAAATTTTAAGTAAAGCAAGCCATGATGTATGTTAGTAGTCATTTCACAGTGAAGAATAATGGGAGTATAGCTGTACCCCTTGCAATTGGTGCATGGATTAAATTAAGAGAGGCAGTAATTTTAAAACAAACACTGGATAAGCATATTGTTTAAATTTCTAGAAAAATAGCCATATTATTCTGTGACCTCACATTTTACAATCCCCTTCTCAAATTATGTTTGTCTGTATCTCCTTCCTCCAAACTATCCACCAATGTAATTTAGAATAACAATCTGATAGTGGCTAACAACCCATGAAAGTATACCAAAACCTACTTATTACACTTTGTTTGTATCTACCACACCTGACTGTGTCAACTTCACCTTGGCTCCCTAAAGACAGTTGATATGGTCTATAAAGTGATTTGGCTAAGAGGGGAAATTGAATTGGCCGGATCAAAACAAAATACAAGGTGCTTCCATGCCAGTTCTTGTTGCAGTTCTTCAGATCCTCTGTTCCAGAGCTGTGTTTCCATGCTACTATCTCTGATCAGCAGCCAAGCTAATTAATTTTGGCTCAGCTATGGGGCAGTTGAAATCACCTCTCTCTTACCAACACACCTTTCCATGTGTAACAACGAGGCTCAGCAGCATTTGTGAGCTCTTTGTTGTTCCCATTGGCAACTTTCCTCATTGCCAACAGATGCAGCATCCTGCAGAAGGCTCTGTAAAGATTGCTTGATAGCTTCACAAGTCTCCCTTCCTGTTAACTTCTTAAAATTTACTTTGGAAAGAACCAGGCAAATGTAGACCATGCTGCTGGTTTCATATCAAAATGCAGCCAGGATTGATTTTGAGTGCTTGACTCTTTGATGATGATCCTTGCAACTGTTCCTCAATGTGCCATTAGCCTATGTAAAGTTGGAACGAATTTTGCATGGGGTCTTTTTATTCCTTTCTTTGTCTCTGCCAGGAACCTGCTGACTGCACAGTCCCAAGCTGCCTTTAAAAACAAAAAAGCACAACTGCCTCAGAGGTGGTATTCAGCAGGTTCTGACCAGTTCTGAAGAACTGGTAGAGGAAATTTTGAGTACTCCAGAGAACCAGCAAATACTCTGACTGTCCCCACCCCCACCTACTCTATGTCTCCCGAGTCCCAGCTGATTGGCTGGGTCTTCTTTTGTTGCCCTGCACAGGAGAACGGAGCTGGCAAGCAGGTTAGTGGGGTGGGGAGGGAATGGGGATTTTACAGTATCCTTTCCCTGCCGCGCCCACCAAGCCACACCCACAGAACGAGTAGTAAAAAAAATTTGAATCCCATCACTGAACTGCCTCATGTGTGGGGTCCTTCTGTGTGGAGAGGATTTCAGTCTCTCCTAGGCGGTCTCTCCCGCTCCCTAGCAATATTTGGCGCCCTGCCTGTTGACATTATTTAGAGTAGACCAAGCGTGTCCAACCTACGGCCCACCACATGTTGCCATTGACAGCCAGTAATGAGGCCCCACAAGAATGTAACCTTTAATATTAATATGTGATTTATATACATTAACTATTTTATTTGTGGCCCAAGACAATTCCTCTTCAATGTGGCAAGCCGAAAGGCTGCTCATCCCTGATTTAGACTCTTATCTCCACTATAAAAAAAATGCAGCCCCTATTACAGTCACCGGGGAAAGCATTTCATTGTACAATTACCAGCATACTCTCTTTCATCATCACAACTTCCAGTAAGCTTTTAAGTGCAACGAAGGAATGGAAGCTTAACAGCCTCTCATTTATAGCAAGTGAACATAAGACATTTATAGACAAATGCACGTAGTACATTTTGGACATATAAGAGCAGCTAATTTATTCAATTTTCTTTCTAAATGAAACAGGGAAAAAGGGGATTGTGTTTTTGTTGCTCTGAGAAGTGAACAGCTCGGGATGAGACATCCACTGAGTACCTTATTAGTGAGCTAGAAAGAGGCCACAGACAGGCTTGTGGCGTTGCTGGCCTAGAGACAGTCTTCAACTTGGAACCATTCAACAAGAAGGAACAAAGTGTCTTCACACTTACAACTGTAGCAGCATCTCCATGGGCACGTGATCAAAATATGGGTGCTTAGCAACCGGCATGCATTTATGACAGCTGCACTGTCCCGGGGTCATGTGATCACCATTTGTAACCTTCCCAGTTGGCTTCTGACGAAACCAATGGGGAAGCCAGATTTACGTAACAATTGCAGTGGTTTATTTAACAACCGTGGCAAAAAAAAAGGTCATAAAAGTCGTTTAACAATTGTCTTACCTAGGAACAGAAATATGGGGCTCAATTGTGGTCATAAGTCAAAGACTACCTGTAGTCCTTCTTTCTCTGTGTTAGACTAGACATACCCGGTTTCTGCAACCATACTTCTTAACTTTTCCAGAAAAGGGGAGGACAGGAGATCGCCTACGAATACTCCGGTTGCTCCTTGCAAGCAGACTACAGGACAGCAGTTTTCTGTAGGTTTGAGCACCGGGAGATGAAGGGATCAACCATCTTTCTTATCTATCTATCTATCTATCTATCTATCTATCTATCTATCTATCTATCCATCCATCCATCCATCCATCCATCCATCCATCCATCCATCCATCCATCCAATTTATTGGCTGCCCATCTTACCACAAGGATAACTCTTTCTCAACATACCTTTCTTGCAAACACAGCAATGCCCTTTAAAGAACATTAAGTTTACAAGTCTCCCTTTCTAATGTTGATTGGAACTTGCCAAGTACTCCGCAAGTTCACAAAAACTACATGCGCAACTGTTGAGAAACAATCTTAAACACATCCATTTTTTAATCATCTTAACAATTTACATTCAAATGTAAATCTTCCCTGATGTTGCAGACATGACAGGAAAGAAGTATGTTACTGATTTTTTTTTGACAAAAGTATTTATATGCTGCTTCTCATAGCACACATTCCTGAAGCAGTTTATAAAGCAGTATTATGGAATAATTAAATCCATCTCTTAAAAGACAAGTCGTACAAAAATTAACATGGGAGGCTAACTTATAAGAGAGGTGTAGAATGTCAGTGATCCAGTCACCACAAAAAGACATTCTTTATGCCATCAGCCCTAAGTGAAATTTGCAAGTCTATCAAACCATAGCTAACCAAGTTTTTTGTCCTGCACAATCACCTACTAATATGGGATAGTACACATAAGTTGCAGAACTAAAAGCCTTGCACAACTTTTCACTCTTCGTCATGCTGAAAAAGGCTAGAAACAAAAGGGAGATGTTGATCCTGATTCGGGCCGTCTTGTACCCCACCACTGCTCTTCATCACCCAAATGATTAATATTCTCAGCTCAGGCATCACTGATTGCCTGTAGGAGAACACCACAGACCTTAGACACAGAACTGACAAAGCCAATAACTCTGTCTGACAGCACTATTGCGACACACAAACACAAAACACAATGAGAAGTCAGGTTCTCTGGATCTGAGATTTTGCATTCTCCAGAAACAATAAACCACAATGCATGTGAACAGAATTCTTATGTCCAGCTGCGCAACATTTCTAACTCTATAGTATTAGCCTGAAATAGTGTGTTTTAGCATTCAAGTCCTTTTCAGCTTTGGTGAGACCTGATTGCTAATAACAATGTTAATTTATTATTCAATAGCCCATTCCCTGATTACAGACATCAGAGCCAGGGGCATCAGTAGAGAAAATTGACAGTGTCAAAGTGATTGGTAGAATCAAGTGATCAAAGCCTTTTTTAATGTGTGTTGCACGCATACCATCCAAAGAGGTGAGGCTTTGATAACCCCAGTTATGCCTACCAGTTTGTCATCACTGATTACCCCCCTGACCCTGCTGATGACCCTGAACGCAGCTGACCGGTCAGCAACAAAGACTACAATCCATATAGGCATTCACATATTGCCACATGAAAGCTGTAAAATCATTCCGCTGGACAGATTTGATAAAAAAATAAAGGGCATCTTAAAAATATTTTTCTCCACAAATATTTTACACTGTTACAGAATGATGAAATTACAGGTAGTCCTCGACTTACAACCACAATGCACCCAGAATTTATGTTGCTGAGAAATTTGTTAAGTGAGTTTTGCCCCATTTTGTGACTTTTCTTGCCACATTTGTTAAGTGAATCGGTGCAGTTGTTAAAATTAGGAACACAGTGGTTAAGTGAATCTGGCTTCCCCACTGACTTTGCTTGTCAGAAGGTCACAAAAGGTGAGCACATGACCCCAGGACACTGCAATCGTCATAAATGTAAGCCATTTGCTAAGCATCCGAATGTAAATCATGTGCCATGGGGATGCTACAACATTCATAAGTGTGAAAAATGGTTGTAAGTCAATTTTCTTCAGTGCCATTGTAACTTGGAACGGTCACTAAATGGACTATGTTAAGTTGAGGACTACCTGTAATGAATAATGAAAATTGTATTTCATTTGATAAACAGATAGAAGCTTCTGTCTTTCAAAACCCTGACCAGCGAGAGTTGGCTTCATCTATGATACTAATCCTGCAATTATACAGAGGTGTACTCAGATGTTAAGTCCAGTTATTTTTCAATAGGGTTAACCCTCCAGAATCTGTAACAGATAACAGCACCTAACTAGTAAAATCTTATGAACATTTTGACTATTTTGCAGTCTAAGTAGGAGCCAGCAGTAAATGGCTCTAAGAGAACAATTTCTACATCCTAACACAAACAACTGAGATAGTTTATAAACCTGTATGTCCTGGTTAACTGCTTTGGTGTTTTGACCTGTGCTCTGGCAGCTGCCTTTCACACAAAAAACTTTCATCAATATGGTTCTTTTACAAGATAAGCCATGCCTAGCTGGATAACTGCACGGATTCTTCATATAAAGCTTCAAATATGATTAAGTTAGCATTTCAAGCTTTCAGTGCAGAAGCTAATGCAAATAAATTTTTATATATTTGGTTTCTTAATGTACAATAATGTACAGATTTCCATCTGGGCA